TGGTTTACAAAAGACAGCTTGATCCTTTCAGCAAGTGACACCGAATGTTTTTAACAGTGAGACAAAGTAATAAATGGTCCTTTTAAATTTATGACGAGACAGATAATCTCTAGTAAGCAAGTGGGTAATGATGGGCACCATAAAGGCTGAGTTGTGTAAACAAATCTAAGAAGAGACTTATATGGGCCGACTCGAGTGAGTTAGATGCCAAATGATAAAGATGACCCAAATCAAAGGTAGCAAGTCCTCACCAATCAAGCAATACAAAGATTAAGAAAAAATAGGGGGCTACATTTCAAATCAGGTAAATATGCATGCATATCATTTAACTTTGAAAGATTGAACAATGCATTTTATAAATCTTACAAAAGATATCCTCAATAGGATCCATCATAAGGAAGGCCACCTCAAAAAGGGCCAAAATTAAAAATGCTTTTGAAAATTTTTCACTTCTAAGAAATTTTTGACTTGGGCATGCTGCCCACGAGAATTAGACCACTTGAAAAATCTCTGTATTTTCCACATCTTTTTTAGTGCGCCTTCAAGCTCTCACCTCCTTCTAATGCATCTTCGAGCCCTCGACTATTAAAGGTAGTATGTTTCATAACCCTACCTTCTTTTGAGTGCGTCTTCAAGCCTTTATTTTCTTTTGAATGTGCCTTTAAGCCCTCGACTATTTAAGGTAATGCGTTTCCTAAACCCTACCTCCTTCAGGTGCACCTTCGAGCCCTTGACCATCTAAGGTAATACATTTCCTAAACCCTACCTCCTTTTTAGTACGTCTTCGAGCCCTCGACCAAGATAGCAAAAAATAATAAGGTGACGTTGTACAAGTGAATTAAAATTCACTTGCATAATAGCAAATGAATTAAAATGAAAGTAAAGGGAAACAAAAACACATACCTAACATTGGCATTTCTGGGTGAAGCCTCTTCCCGAGCTCCTTGCTGGAATTCTAGGGAGAAGTTAGGATTCCACTCCCCGCATTCGGCTTCTCATCCTACTCCCTGCACTCTAGTGCTGGCGTTTCTGGGCAAAGCCTCTTCTTAAGCTCTTTGCTGGAATTCTAGGGAGCAGCTGGGATTCCACTCCCTACATTCAGCTCCTCCTTTTCTCTGTTCCGCCTTTTTTCTTGTTCTTTTATATTTAGCTCCTTGTGTCTCCCTCTCTATCTCTTTTTTTTTCTATTTTTCCTGCTTTTCTGCCCCTAGTATTTATTCCCCTCCTACGTGTTTTTCTCTATTATGCTTTCTTTTCTCTCTCTCTCTACTAGTCTGTTACATTGTTGTTGCTGAGAAGCTGCATTGATAGACTGTCATTGAATGTTGCAACTAGGTTACATAATATGAAGAAAGAAAATAGTCGCTACTATTGCTGGACTGAGCTGCTGCAGAAGGAGGAAGTGGTGGCTAAAGAACACTCGTTGTCACTGCTTTAATAGAGAAGAGAAAAAAAACTCCAGGTGCTGGGTTTGAACTAAAGGACTTCCATGGTTGAAGACAAAGCTACTGTTCATTCTTTGAAAACATGCTGTTGTTGGAGGAACGCATGTTGGATGGCTCATGCATGCTTATGGTGTATGGAGATGGCGCTGACGCTGCTGTTCACGACTAAAAGGGAAATAAAAGTCGACACGGCCAGGAGTAGCACCATAAGACTTACTGGTAGAGGCTGCTTCACCAGGGAAAGGAGATAGGGTATTATAGCACCAGACGAACTGTAGAGGAGCTGGTGTCCTATAATGGATGAGAGAAGGGAGACTATGATAGAGCTAAAACCCAACAAGGAGGGGGATTCTGGTTTATTCTTTGTTTATGAAATGAGAACAAATGGTAAAGATAGGGGTAATGCCCCCACCCCCCCCCCCCCCCCCCGAGCAATAGATTTAGGTTTCTTGTCTCTTGTTTTTCTGTAATGTGTTCCCTTTCTTCTTCTTTTTTTTGTAAGCTTTTTCTAGGGTTTCTTTTAATAATCTCTCTCTAGGTTTCTTTTGATTTTTTTTCCTCTAGGGTCTCCCCTTCTTTTGCATGCATTGAAATTTATATTTATAATGCAAGAGTCTCATCACGTGTGGAAAATAAAGTTTTAATCAAACTTAATTTTTTTTTTTGAATTTTGAATTTGATTAAAATCAAATTCAAAAGCGAATAGCTATCATTATCTTAAAAGTAAGGTTAAAATGACAAAAACACATTATAGTTTTTAGTTTTCGTGCAAGCTAACAAATCATACTTTTCATTGAAATAAACCTCTAATTTTTTAATTTTATATTTTAAACCCTGTAATATTAAATAAAAACCAATGGGCCAAAATTGGGTTACAACACAAGATATTAGGATGAGATGTAAAGGAGTAACAGAAAACAAATTGCCATTATAAGCAAAAATTATAGTATTAGGTACTAAAAAAGACAAGGGATGCAGAGTTATTATTTCAAAATATTAAATATAGTTATAGTTGCTTCATTTTCATAATAATTATATTGTTGTTTTCAAGGCCTTCTCATTCTCGTCAAGAGTAGTCCTTTGCTTATTTTGCTTTTTTTATTATATAAAAGAAGAAATATGTATTATTTTGGGATTGACTATAATCTATTTAATTATATAATAACGATATCAAAACTCTAATTTTTATGCATAAATATGAACAAATTTTACCATTATGATGTTCTTATGACTTTTATACATATGTTATAATTTTATCTCTCTTTAAATTGTATAAGTATTTGCGAGCATGTATATGAATATCTAGGTGAAATGATGAGTACTTTGTTGTGTTTTGAGATCTAGGATGATTGGATCAGGAATGGAAATTGTGTTTAGAAGTGTAACAGGAAATAGCTAATATAGGGGAGACAGCCAAAATTTTGATAGATTGTATATATAATAATTTCAATATGTATAAGCATAAATATGTGTTTTGTCCTAGTAATTTGAGATTATTACATGAAGTAATCTTGAGTGTTGTGCGCTTTATCTTTGTATAAAAAAACAAGATTTTCTAGAGGTGCAGTTATATAAAGGTAACATCATAAAGGGTGGATATTAAATGTAATCCTTCCTCTTGGTGGTTGTAAACACTTTGATGAAAGTAGCATTCAAGGGAAGAGAATGCCTTCTTTTAGGGTAATGAACGCATTCCCTTATGGGTCTTTTATGATTTTGCTTTAAGTTATTGTCCCTGCTGGGAGGGGAATGACTCTACTAATAGAAATAGGGAGATCCATACCATATAATACTAGCTTTTTATACCCGGATATAGTTTTCCATTACTTGTTTTACCTTTGCCAAGCTTCTATCGGGCAAGACGTATAAGTCTCTATCCATAAAAAGCATTCTCTAACTCCACTTGTCAAAGCCTTTGAGTCTACTAGCTTAATCAATTCTTTTACCTTGAACATCTCTTAGTTAACCTCTTCAAATATGCTCAAGTGGATTTCCCTGCTTGGATTAAGCCAAAGAGCTTTATAAAGCTTCTATTGGCGAGTACGTAAATGTTAAACCATAACATAAGTTTCACACAGAGATCTCTAAAACTCGTGATAAAGCCCAGGTTTAAATTTTTGTACCAAGATCTAGCCAACCCCTTGAAGGTCGTTAGTAGTATCTTACACATGGCGTCACTGTCTTGGATGTCAGCTTAAGGTTGTTGCGGATGTTTTGGACATGATCTCGAGGATCTGTCAATCTATCATAGTTGTCCAAAGTCATCTTTAGGGAGATATAATCTCTAGGGACATGATTACGCAAGACCTGTTTGGATAAGGGGGACTTTTTTATCCATATAAGTATAAAAGACTCATCATAGAAATATCTCCTAGTCATGTTTCTCCCTAACTTCTGCCTAGTTGGCTTGGGGGAGCTAGAAGACTCTACAGTGGAAAAGCGAGATTGATAGTTGAGTTCTTTACTGTGGTGACCAAAGGGATCACATCTAGAGTAAAAGCTTCTTAGAAAGGTATCATGTTATTGAGAATGACCCCTCAGAGGGCTAATAAATCGCTTGGGTGAAATGCTCTCCATGTTGTTTTGTCTTGCCTCTCTTCTAGGTAAGATAATTTATCTTTTAATAGGTTGACTTATTATGGAGCTAGGACATAAGATGTTGCCTTGGTCATGACCTGCTGGGATGGTGAGGTTTGGTGTTGCCTTCAAGATGCTAAGATGACTTGAGGAAGGGCTTACACTTGATTAATAAGTTAATGAAAACTTAAGGGAGCTAGTAGGGAAAATGTGTATGCTTTCACAGGGAGATCCGTAATATGCCCCAACCTAGGATTTTTTTTTAATTATCAACCATTTATAGCAATTAGAAATGTCTAAATCTCGCTTTAAATAGTTGATGGCTTTTTCAATAGTTTCCTATAGACAGCGTCAATTAATGATGCTCTAGAATCTAATATGCTAGAAGACTTGGATTTTTTAGCATTTAGATAATGAATGATCACAAATTCATGTCAATCTTCTACTTTCCAGAACTAAAGGTCCATAAGGTTGGTGATAAAGGCTTGTTTTCTTGCAAAACAATCTCTTTTTGTGGGATTTAGGGACCGTCCAATAATTAAGTAAGTGATTTTATAATGAGAAGTTATAGTAAATAAGCATTAAATTTTGAAAACAAAAATATTTATTCTTAGTTTGTGTATGATCAATGCTGAGAATATACTCTGAGAGATTTAAGATTATAAATTCTCTCCTAGTATCATTTAAAAAGTATTTATAATTTTTGTATCTTAAACTCTTTTATTTATAAGTTTTTTTTTTTTTTGTCCAAGTAGAGAGGGAGTCATTTACATCAATATTAATATTGATGTAAGTGTCTTATTCCACGGTATTAATATTGATGGAAATATCATATATTTATAGGTGGCGGCCCTACATCAACTTGTACATGGCATTAATATTGATAAGATGAATTCTTCTAATTGATATTAATATTGATTTATATAGTCAGCTTGTAGAGGACTTTTTGTACAGCTAATATATAGAGACATGATGATACTAGATTCCTATATGTTATGTTTGTATCTGGAGCAATTCTTCATGAACACATTACAATGATAGCATAATATGAGCTGCATGCCCTGTGTTGATAGTGACTTGTGAGATATACGAAGGCAGAATTAAGAGAGCATGTTAACAGGAGGAGGTATCTCCGTTTCGGAAATGTCCCATGTGACTTCCTGTGACTTTAGAATACACATTAATGCAATTTGTGTGTGAATGCCTCTCTGCTTTGTAGGCTGAGGCCTATTTGTAATCGGTGCCCATATGTGATTGCATGACTAACAGCATCCCCCCACACTAGAAACTGTTGATGGAAATATATTATTATTGTACTTGTCTTGATGGTCTTTGAATGAAAAATATCGCTAGCCAGGAAAAAAGAAAATAGTGCATGGAATAGGATATTCTAAATTAAGCTTGATGGAAACTCTTTCACGATACTCAAAAGCTTCAAGGAGACCCTTTCCTCGGGTTTGTCTCTTTCTTTCTATCTCACCTTTATTCCTTGCTATTTGATTGTAGCAGAACCAGCTAGGAAGAAGGGAGAGAAGTTGAAGAAGAAAGATACCAGGGAAAGGGAGAATAAAGGTTGAATTCAAATCTCGAAAAATTGTGCAGCATAGGATAGTGTTCACCAGAAGGCAGGTGTTCCCGAATCGTTTCCAGTTAGACCAGTCTTAGGTTACTGATTGTATTTTAGCTAAGCAAGTTAGTGAGGTTAGCTCTTGGCATGCCTAAAAAATATGTAAATAGGAATCGTTACAGAAACTTGGACTGAATTTTTTAGATTGAGAATTAATATTCAAAGAAGGTAGACATTTTCTGATAGAAATACAAAAACAGGAAATAAGGAACCCGATGGCTAGGATTCAAGCAAAACACCTGGTTTTGAAACTTCTGGGAGCAATCCTGAGTGGTTCTCTTGTTGCGGTTTTAATTCTGGTTTTGGCGGAACCAAGTTTGACGCAAGAAGGTTCAAGGACTGGTGGAACCGAGTCTCATCGTGCAATGAGAATGTTGAGTCTTGTACGAGAAAAAGGCCGAGTAGGGTATACGCATGTTTGGCCGGTAAATCCAGTTTTTTATTAGCTTGTGATTTGCATATAACATTATGGTGTTTTATGCCGTTTTTTTTGTGGGTCTATCAGCATGTTCTGTTTGGAAGTTCGGACCACCTTAAAATAGTTTCTTGAGGTTTGCAGATAAACTCTCAGTCAATTGGGACTGAGGAAGTGATTTCTGATAGATTCATTCATTTGTTTATTATCTTTCTGCATGAACTTTTTTTCTTTTTTTATATAATTCGTGGAATTTGGAGTCACAGGAGATGAGATTTGGCTGGAAAATTGTGATGGGTAGCATAATTGGATTCTTTGGAGCAGCATGTGGGAGTGTGGGAGGTGTTGGTGGTGGTGGTATTTTTGTTCCAATGCTTTCCCTGATCATTGGGTTTGATACCAAATCAGCCACAGCGATGTCAAAATGTAAGTTGAAATTTATCTTTCCAGGTTCCAAAACACTTGACAACTTTCAGGATTTTCTAGATTTACTGAGCTATTAGGACTGCATATTGAGGTCAAAAGCAAACCACTCAAAGTTTTTCCCAAAGTTCCAAAAGAAGAATTAACTCTCAGTTTTACATTACCGTTTCTCAAACTGTTTTGGATTTTACGCTGTCAGGTATGATCACAGGAGGAGCAGCTGCGACCGTTTACTACAACTTGAAGCTGAGACATCCGACCCTTGAACTGCCCGTCATTGACTATGACCTAGCGCTTTTATTTCAACCGATGTTGGTGCTTGGAATTAGTATTGGAGTCGCTCTCAATGTGATTTTTGCTAACTGGATGATTACAATTTTGCTGATTGTTCTCTTCATAGGTATTTATAAACAAAAGTTGCAATTTTCTCTGCCATAATCATGGACAACTTTCTTGATTATAATACTTGGTGAGCTGTAGTGACGTCGACTAAGGCCTTCTTCAAAGGTGTTGAAACATGGAAAAAAGAAACCAAAACTAAAAAGGTAGTCTAAATTCTCTCCCTGTCTGCTAATTTACAGACATTCTAAATCTCGTAGGTTGCTAGTCTCACTTGTTATTTATATTTTCAGGAGGCTACTAGAAGCTTGGAATCTAATGGTTGGTGTATGAAATTCAACTTTTGGATGCTCAAAACTTCTTCTTTTTTTCCTTGCATGACTAATTTCTCCTCAATCAGATGACAGAAATGAAGAGGTTGACGGTGAACCTCCTCCTGGTGGCCCCACAGTTGGTGCTCAAACAGAAACCAAGGAATATAAAAGGGAGCAGGTGAGAGTACCTGTCTGTATTTCTTTGATATGCTCTTGTGGTTTTTCAAGCCTGACTTGTGTAACATTCTCAGGTCTCCATTATTAAAAATATTTACTGGTGGGAACTTGCACTTCTTGTTGCTGTCTGGTTGATCATCCTTGCATTGCAGATTGGCAAGGTATTATCTAGTCCTCGGGCTTTTCCTTTCATTTAATAGACTGTTTCTCTTTGCTTTTGCGTGTTCACGAGCTGGACTGAAGAGAACGCACCTGTCTGGTTGACACAGAATTACTCGACAACCTGTTCAGTCGCATATTGGTTATTGAACATATTGCAGGTACCTTCACAACAATAATTAGAAAGTAAACAACTGAAATTAATCCTGATATTCATGAAACAGTGTCATGTTTTGTTCTTGGCTTTAAGATCCCGGTAGCTTTTGGAGTAAGTTCATATGAGGCATTTAACCTGTACAAAGGGAGAAGAAAGATTGCATCCAAGGGAGATGCAGTCACAAACTGGAAGATACGCCAGCTTGTTCTTTATTGTTTCATAGGCCTGTTGGCTGGTATTGTTGGTGGGATGCTTGGACTTGGTGGAGGATTCATTTTGGGCCCTCTTTTCCTGGAGATGGGAATCCCCCCTCAGGTGAAATTTCCTCCCTTCGTATCAATTTGTAGAAGTAAAATACGAGTTTATTCCCAAACAGAAATATTGAAAATTCATCTACATAGGTGTCGAGTGCCACAGCCACCTTTTCCATGATGTTTTCTGCGTCCATGTCTGTCGTGGAATATTACCTTCTCAAGCGTTTCCCAGTTCCTTATGGTAACTTGCTTCGCTAGCCAAGTTCTCTGCTAATCAAAAAGCTATCATCAAGTTTAAAATGAGCACCGAGTGATTATCCATCTTTTTTATAGAAAAAACAACACTTGACTACATCATTGTCTGATGGCATACAGCTCTTTACTTCTTCGCTGTCGCTACTCTTGCTGCCTTGGTCGGTCAACACGTGATAAGAAAGCTGATCAGCATATTGGGAAGAGCATCGCTGATCATATTCACTCTGGCCTTCACTATCTTTGTAAGCGCAATATTACTAGGTATGTGTCATTTTGAACAGATGCACATTCATATATAGGTTACAAATACTTCCAAATTAAGATTCACTCAAGAATCTTGTCCTTGAAGATTCGTCATTGCTGAAGGAATACTTCTTTCCGAACAGGTGGTGTTGGCATAGCTCGCATGGTCAGAAGGATAGAGAGGAAGGAGTACATGGGATTTGAAAACATTTGTTCCTAGGGACCTTTGTCTCCAAAGTTTACCATTATTTTCTAGCTGAACTTGGCTTCTTTTATCCCCTGTAGGACCAGCAATTGGCAGTGCCCTTGTGCGCTAACACTAAATCTCAATTCCATTTTGCTTTATAATTTTTTAAATTGTCAATAAAACTCAACAAAACTGCAAGCCCCCTGTTTTTCCTCTGTCCACCCCCATTGGACACGATGCTCTTCGAAGAAGTCTGCATATTGATTCTTTACAGTATTTTATACCATGTCGATGAAGGTCTGCGTTTTTCAAGTTTGATTCCCAGGTTTGTAGTACAGTGCTTTGCCTTTTTGTAGATTACTGCGTATCTAGCTGCTTGCTCTCTTCTCCCGACTCTTCTACATGACATTCCTATCTCTCTGAGCAAGAGCCATGTAAGTTTTATGACTGCATGTATTCAGCTGTGATCTTCATTCTTCTGACAAAGCAATAGCTGTTTGGTGTCTTCAAGAACAACATAGCGTGATGATAAAAAATTTAAAATATATATATTACTTTTTGAGTTTCAGTTAGGAAATGTATTTTTTATAAGAATTTGAAATAATCGAGATTTTATTTACTCATTTAAGTTTATAAAATGTGCTTTCTAGAAAATAAAATTTTCTATTGCCTACGCATATCGAATCTAAAAAAAATAGTTGTTTGATATTTGTTTATAATGATAAAAAATAAGTTTTTTATTGAATCAGCCATAATAAATGTGTGATAAGTTAGAAAGTGTTTATGAATTGTTTTATTAGTTCTATTGCCTACGCATATATTATTGATTAGTTATGGATTAGATGATTTTTCTTCAACAAATTTTTTTTTTTTGTTTACATAAGAAATTATAATAGTAAATTGAAAAGTTAATGCATGTGTTTAATTAAATAAATTGAAAATTATTTGTACCAATAAATATTAAAAAAACCATTAATGATAACTAAAAACTAAATCAAAAAAATTAAAAAATAAATGTAGTTTGAGATATTTAATCTTACAATACAAGTCTTGTTCTCGGTTGTATTTAACAATTTTATTTATTACAATTAACTTTTTATTGAATCAAATGATAATATAAATAGACATATATATACATGAAATTAATTGAATAAAATCAAAAGGAAAAAATATTATGCAAGGTTAAACAAATTAGAAAAAGAATATTATCATTTTATGTGAAAAATATGTAAAAATTAAATAATATTTAATCAAATGAAAAAGTTAAGAGATAAATTTTTACGTGAATATCTGATCTCGAAACATGAACCATAAACATGAATCAGAGAAATGCAATTAATAACCTTGTTTTTTAAAACTAATATTTTATTTAATAAAAATATAAGAAAAAACACATAAGAAAATGATTAAAGAAAATTAAAGAAAAACTTAAAGTGAGACAACATGATATATTATCTTCTAATATCAAGAAAAAAATGTTAAAATCTTATTTGTAAATCAAATAAAAATTAGATGATATTATATTTAAAAATTATTAAAATATGTTGAAAAAAAACCAAAAACAAAAACCCAACATTGAAGAATTGAAGAAAGTAATTGAAATGAAAAAAAAAATAAAACAAAACGAAACACAAAAAAAAGGCTCATGAGCTTGGTTAAAAAACCCAAGTTTGTGAGTTTTTTTACATGAGCTAATTAGTTTTTTTATAGGATGTATGATTTATTATTTGCCTTTATTTATTTTAAAAAAAAAGTAAAATATATTATATACCTTAATAAAATCATATATAGCCTCAAATAATCCAAAAACAGGTTTATAAACTCAAAATCAACTTGAAACAGAAAAAACTTCTCAAGCTCATATATACCATTTTAAGCAATGAAAAGGCTAAAAAATACCTAGTAAAGACTCGTTTTATTGAATGAAATTTATTAATACCAAGATCGATCATTTTTCATGGTCTAAATCTATATTAATTAAGATGTTTTTTCTCTATCATCATAATCTAATGATTTTTTCTCCGCACACTCAAACTCAAAAATAAAATAAAATAAAATAAAATTTTAGAATGAAATTAAAATTTCAAAAATCAAAGGGACTAAAAATAAAATAAAAAAATATAAAGAACAAATTAATATTTTTTTTTTCAACTTGAAGTGGCCATGTATTTTCCTTGTTATTTTTTTTTCCTCGATCTTTTAATCCTTCACTTGTTTAACAAATTAGAGCTTATTAGCAATAAATCTTCACAGAAGAAAAAAATAATAAAAAATTCTTTGTGAAATTGCACAGTAAAAATATGAATATGTAAACGGTGGCACGAGGACACAATCTTTTCTATGTAGTATTTAGTGTTTTCTATATATATATATATATATATGAGTATGTAAACAGTGGTGCGAGGACTATATAACTATATATATATATATATATATATATGAGTATGTAAACAGTGGTGCGAGGACTATATAATTTGTTTAGTAATTTAACATTATTGTTATAATAAATCTCGTTTATAGGTTGTCATAGATAGTAACTATAATTATATTTATTGATATTTCTTTCTATTGTGTTTAAATGGTAATAGTGATATATCTCATATTGATGAAAAATGCCTAATTCAAGTTTTTTATAAATTTTTATATCATTTTTATCTTCTTCTTTTACAGCTTGTTAATTTCTTTTGTTGATTGAAATTGAGTTTGAAAAATTTCTATCCTAAAACTAAAATAAAAGGGTAATAAAAGATTTTAAAAATATATAATATATATTTTTTAATGCATATCTAATTTAAATTCTTAATTAGACTCAATTTTTTAAAAAAGAAAAGAATCCTATTATATCACTTGATTTTGTTATTTTATTAAAAGAAAAGTTTGATAAAAAAGTAGTAAGAGTTCAAATAATACATAATTGAATTCCTCTATTTTATAAAAGGTGATTTTATTTAATTTTTATATTTTCCAAAAAATATTCAATAGGTATCTTAGGCTAAAACTTATGATATGAAGAATAACTTAAAATAACATATGCTATGAAGTGTTAAACTAAAATGTTTTATGTGCATATATGTGGCTGTAGTGTATGTGTTAATTTTTTAATTGTTTATAAAGTATTATTGGTTAAGATTTAAATATATTTATACGTAGATAATTTATATATCTCACCTATGTTTTCGTTTTACCATTGCATATTGTATATTGATTGATAGCATGAAGGTGCCATATATTAGCAACATTTTACCTCTAAAAAAAGGCCAGCATTTTATTTTATTGCACTGTAAATGGGCTGGTCCAATACAATATGAGTTTTGAGCCCAAACGAAGCGATGAATGGGCCTGACATCCAAGTTATTTAAGTAGTAGCGTTTTGATTATTGCAGTGGTGACAGAAAAATTGAAGACAGTTGGTATTAAAAGAACTAGATGAAATATAATTGATATAAAATAAATATTTTGATAATTTATTAGGACTATAAGAGATAAAATGAAATAAAACATAGAAATTTTTTTTTGCTATTAATACACATTATCATTAAATTTGCAATATCTGAGACACTAAATAAAAAAAAAATTATTGTTTTATTACTTTAGTATAATGAATATTAATTTTGCTTAACTAGCTTTAAATAATAACTTCTCCGCTCGTGAAAATTATGTTACAAAATAATTTGTAATCATATTAAAATAATATAATTTATTTATAAAAAGATAATATAAAATAATATTTGATGTCCTGGGAAATAACATGGGTTAAATATACCAACTATTTTTGTGAAGTTGTTTGGTGCATTTTCGGGCTGCACAAAAATTATTTCCTGTCATGTTTAAGATTGTTTTAGTAAAGAGTTGTTTTTCCCATTAAAATAATACAACTATGTTTTTCCTGCACAAAAAAAGGCAAGCTTGTTCAATTCAACACATAAAGGTTTGTCTAATTAAATAAGGTTAATATATAAATAAAAATAATTATTATTATAATTTTAAAATTTAATTAAAAATTGATTGGAATAGTATTTAGATTACGAGTCGAGATGATCATTGATCTGGTAAACATTACAAAAAAAATTATTATTATTATAATTTTAAAACACGATCTAAGAATGAACTCAAGTCACAAGTCTAGTTGATCATTGATCTGGGTTAATGTAATAATAAAAATAGTTATTATCATAATTTTTAAATCTAACTTGAGGATTGATTTAGGGTCAAACATAGGTCATGAGTCGGGTTAATCATTGACTCAAGTCAATATAAATATAAAAATAGTTATTATCATGATTTTAAAACCTTATTTAGAGGTTGATTTAAAGTCAAACTCGAGTCATAAGATGAGTTTTTTATTGATTTGGATTAATACAAAGATAAAAATAATTATGATTATAGTTTTAAAATAATAATAAAGGATTGATATAGGATAAGACTCAAGTTATTGGTTGAAATGGTCAATCCAGTTAACCCAAAACGATGTAAGAATAAAAATAATAATTATTATAATTTAAAAAAATTAATTTAAAAATTGACTTGAAAGTAAGACTTAAGTCATGAGTCACGGGAATTAATTTAAATTAAGTCAAATTAAAATTAAAAATTAAAACAACCTTATTTCAACAAAAATATATGTAAAAAATCTAATATCAATGTTTTATCATGAGTTGATTGAGTCACAAGTTGAGCTAAATTTTTTAATAAGACTAAATCGAGTCAATCCATTCTATATTGTTTCTTAAACCCAAATTGATCCAAACCTCAAGTCAACTAGATTTTATCTAGTGTCCACCAAACATAAAATATAGTAAATTAATCAAACCATTTCAAAACATACAATTACAATGCAAAACAATTATTTGTTCAATCTAATTCAGTAAATATTATACAATAATTCAAACAATACCTAATTAAATTATATTTTTCTCCCAATATTTCATCCGCATTGTATATTTTTTTTTCTATTATCACTCAATACCTACCTCTTCATCACTAAATTATAAATTTACCCCAGAACATGACCAATTCTCTTTTTTATATATTATATATATTTCATATATTTTATTTATTATATTAATGTTTTAATAATAATAATAATAATAATAATTTTCTTTTAATAATATTACAAATCTCTCTTTCCTCTCTCTTGTTATATTTTTCAGGATTTTATATTTTCTAGTTTTCAATCTAATTGTAAAAATTAAGTTAGTTAAAATTAATAA